CCCGGGTGCCCAACTCCGTCAGGAAATTATGAATGTATATCAGAAAAGTTGCCAGAACATTTGAGTTGATTTGAGGCGAAATTCCGTGAGCGTTTCTTATGTTTATAAAACAGAAGGAAAATTGTGGAAACTTCAAGGCAATTCATTGAATTTCAATAAAATTGCGGGTTCTTATAAACATACTGAGCACGGCAGTCTAGAGAAGTCTAAGGAAGTTCAGAACTCTTTTCAGCAGTTTTAATAACACCATTTAAGTCTGGTATATTGAAGAAGTTATGAATTAGTGTCGATAATTTAGGGGCAGTTCCATAAGCTTCAGAAAAATCTTGAGAACTTCAGTGAAAATCATACAATTATATTAACTATTTCATTTTGATTCCAAGAAAATGACGTGAGTTTAAAGAAGTCCAGAAATTTCAGATAACTTCACAGAATTGCTGAGATCGTCAGAAACATTTCTGTGGAACTTAAGGAAAGATCCGAGAACTTCAGGAACTTTCATGCGGAAGAAGTTTAGTAAGCTCAAAAAATAGGCAGGGTGGCCAGTGAATTTTCATTTTGAAATTGCCGGTTTTCCCAGTTTAAATCTTAAAAAATTCCCAGTTGTTAATATTCAACAAAAAAAAGGAAAGGATAAAAAAAAAAATGATTTAAGAAGATTCCCAAGATTCTGGGGCTTTGAAATGTGTGTAAAGTCTGAAACTAGAACTTTTTTTTCAAAATTTGTGATTAGTAACAATCTTTGTGATGCAAGATTTGGAGAAAAAAATAATTAAAATGTGAGGAATCGAAATTTTTTCAAGATCACAGATTTGAAAAAAAAATATATATATATCATACTTATGAGTTGTGGAGTCATAATTGTCACGCTCTGAGACTTGGAAGCATTTTAAGAGTTATAACAAATTACAGAACAATCTATACAATCTAGCGGACAAACCCTGGAATGTTTAGTAAAATTAAAAGAATTCAAAGTGTTAATTTCCAACAAATATTGAGAAGGATTCCCACACAGTTTTCGAAGGAGAAGTTCTGAGCAGAATTCTAGAATTATTCTGACATGAAATCCTTTGTTAGATAAATTTGCAGGGATTTCTGTGGAGAAGAATGCATGTTCTAAATTAAATTGTTAGGTAATTTTAGAAGATTTAAAAAGGTGTTGTGAAAACAAAACTTTGCGGAAAATTCCTACTTTATTATTCTGAGGAGATTTGTATGGGGATCGCGAGGAAAATGACAGATGACGTTTAAGAAGAATTTCAAGAGAATTATGATCAGAATTCAACAAGAAACAGAGTTCTGAGAGTGATTTGGCAATAATTTCAACCCCAGTGCGGAAGATTCATCTCAGAACTCCAACAAAATTGATTGCAAAAAAATTGCTGATAATTATAAAGAAATTCTTTAAGGAGTTTCTAAATAAAATTTCGAAAGATTTTTGCTGTTTTGAATAGAGTTAAAGAAATTTTTGAAAAGATTTTCAAAGGAATCGAAGTCTCCGGATAGGCTCAAGGGAATTCGAAGAAGGATTTCAATCAAATTCTTCGGTAATTATTACGCGGAGTGTTTTCTGGTTATTTCAGAACAATTTCAAGATAATTCAGAGCAGAATTCCAAGTTAATTCTGAAATTCATATCATGAGAATTTTGAACAACGAAAACTTAAAACCCCGGAAAAGAATAATTCAGTTTCGGTTTTTACAAATATTTGTTTCCCAAGTCCAGCATCTTCAATATTTTCTTTTAAGGACCATGCACTTTACATCTGAAATTGAACCGACAAAAATGAATTTGCAATATTGCTGAGTGATTAAATTGTAAAACCATCTTATTGGAACTGAAGAAAATTATGCAGCAAATAGAGCAAGACATTAATTTAGTAAAAGATCACTCTGTTTTAATGGTTTATTCTGAAATTCTGGTGTAAAATTTTGTTCCATGGAATGGTTAATTTATTTTTCCCGGTTCTCTCGTCGAATTCCCGGGATTTTCCCGATTTTCCCAGTTACTTTTCGAATTCCCGGATATTTCCTAGCCACCCAGAAATAGGGGGAGTTTTAGGGGGAGTTCACTTTCATTAGTTTCAGAAAAGCAGTGGGAAATTTTTAAAAGTTCCCAAATTTTCAGAGAACTTCAGAGATGTTGAGAAAACTGTTGAGGCCTCCACATAAGTTCAGAAATTCACCGAAACTTTAACATGTTTAGGACGGTTCAATTAAATTCAGGGAAGGTCAACAAGCTTCTGGACAACTGCAAAAACTTTAGAAAACTTTCGAGAACTTCAGGAAAGAACGGAGATCATTAGAGCAGTTCCGTTAACATTAGAGAAGTTATAGAAATTTTAAAAATCTTTCGAGAACTTTAGCGAATTGTTAAAACTTTAGAGAAGATCGATGATCGTTAGGAGAATTGAGGAGACTTTAGGAAGTCATCCGACAAAGTTCAGGGAAGTTCTAAAATTTGATGAGTATTGTGAGCATCAGATAAGTTTCTACGAAAGACCGTCAAGACAGTTTAATTAGCTTCAGGAACATTTTGGGAACTGTCAAGTAGTTCTGAAGACCTCAGAATAGCCCATTCCATATTCAACGGAGATTTCTCATGAAATTTCACTTGGAGTTCTCCTCAACATTCGCTTTGTACTAGTATTTCTAGTACTAGAATTTCAACTAGAATGGGGTACGTTAATCGATTTGCTTGAGACCAATAGGCTAGTCAAGTAGTGAGCCAATTTAAAATCGTTAGTTTCCACCGGTTGCTACTATGTTATTGCCAAATCAGCTGTAATTACACAGAGAACTGAAAACCGATGCTTGGGACTAGCAGTGTGTAAAAACTGATGATCTCAAACTAGGCAATACCAGCGCCGGCCGCGCCCGAACACAGCTCAAGAAAGGAATGGGTAGGAGTCAGTGGCGTCGCGTAACCTCACTTTTTACCTGTGCACCAACTTTCAAAAACAGATTTAATGCCATATTCATACTCGAATCGGTTGAAAAACACACTTAATCTTCTAGTTAACTCGATATCTATGCATTGCAAGCAATATTTTGATAATTAAATGTTTTGAGAGTTGATGCACAGGTAGATTGAGCTTAAGGCGACGCCACTGGTAGGAGTGTGTTGACGTGACATTTGCTTTGATGGAAGCCGAGCAATCCTCTGCACTTCCACGAGGAATCACTGGGATGTTGGGTAAGAGGGTTGGGTATGCAGCAGGGTTCGTTTTGATAAACGATAAGCTGAATTGATGTCCTAACAATCATATAACGCGAATGAGCTTGGGATTAAACCCATGGTCCTGCTCAGTAAGCAAAAACGTTTGCCACTAGGCAAACGAGCTCCTTTTTTAAATCATCGAGTAGCTGTTATTACCATGTAGTCATATTGACAAATAAAACGATTGACGAATCTTGAATGTGAATGGGCTTGTGATTAGATTCATGATGTTTCGCTCAGTAAGCAAAAACGGTCACTCTAAGACCACCGAGCCCCTCATATCACATCATACCGTAACTCAAGTTGTTGAGCAATTGAATCCTTAAAAAAGCCGAACAACTGATGCAGTAATAATGCAGCAAAAAGAGCTAGTCATTATTTCACGAATTATTGATTCTGAAACTGTGGCGTAAAAATATAGCCGTCTGTTTAGGTTTATTCATTTTTCCCGGTTCATTATCGGCTACTTTTCAAATTTCCGGTTATTTCTTTGTTCGCTGGCCTGACCATCACGTTTTTGATATTGTCTAGAACAAAAATTAGGCCCTAATGTTTGTTTTTATTTGTCTCGGTTTCAGTTCCTACACAACCCAACTGAACACCAGTTGCTAGTTAAATTCGGAGACCATTAGCATTAGCATCGAACAAGTTGCACAGTATGGTAGGTGGAACGAATTCAAAACTATTAAGAGCACGACGGATATCTATTACTGGACAGATAGGGTAGAGAACTTCTTCAGCCTAATCGCCCATTTTGGGCCTATCGAGCAGAAAACTTCAAATAAATCCATGATTTCAGAGTTCGGCAATTCAATTATGCATTTGGTACGATACTTTAGTTAATAAGCTACGGAACGAAGTCAATGAGAACGCGTGATATGAAGGTTTGCACCCATTATTCCCAAAAACAAAAGAAGCGCTCTGACCTAATCAATTTTTATCTTCATCCGATAGGCCGAAGTGAATTCATTGGCGTTTCAATGCGTTAGGCCGAGTTTAGAATCCGTAGGCCGAGTTTGGCGTCAAGAAGCAGTGTTAGACTTTTGACAATATCTCAACGATTGGTTTCTCTTTATCAAATCTTACGGTACACACGGAAAGGTAAATAAATTTGGAAGCCATCAGTAATAATAACATTCCGTTTGGTGCTAAACTGCGCTAGATTAAGAAAGACTAAGTGCGGGTTGTGCTTAATAGGCCGGAAATGGGGTAGTTAACCCTAGTAGGTAGGAAATAATTACTATCTCCCAGATAGACATATCCCGCTCCAACAGTTAAGGATTGTTCTGGCCACGTCCGTACAACTGGTAGGGATAGGAAATGTATGTTACATTTACTTAAGAGAGATGCTAGTTAAATTCGGAGACCAGTTCATAAATAAGAATTGCCAGTTCTGTATGTCAGAATATATGCACCAAACATTTTAACTGGGAATCATCCATGGTCAACCTTCCTATATTTCTGGTTTTCCACGCTTTGGTCATGTTTGTACCAGTTCTGAAGGCGATTGTACTACGACTGAAGATGATGTTCAGGGGACATGTGAAGACATTTTCTTCCATCGCTTTGAAGACTTTGCCTCTGCTCTGAGCTCATGTAAGGGTTTGATTTACACGGAAAGTCACCTCACCTCTTTCGCGGCGCAAAATAGGCCTCTTTGTATCAAGGATCGGTCTAACACTTTTAGAAATTTAATAATATGCCGAACGAGTCTGGTATTTTCAGAACATTTTCTGCTTTGAGTTTACCTAGCAAATGGGAAGCGTTCAATCTCAACTTACCTTTAAGCTTTCTCGAATAAGTTTTAACCTCTTTTGGCGACTCTTGCCTGCTAGGTTCCACTTGTTCCTTTATCCGTATATTTTCTTCTTCTTTGTCTTCCTTCACACTTTTCTCCCGTCTTTCACTTGCTTTTTCTGTTTCTTCTTCTTCTTCTTTTGCTTCTTCCTTACATTTCACAACAGTGTCCTTTTCACCAATTTCTGTCTCACTTTCAGCGTCCCGTTTCGCACTCACTTCTTTTTCTTCTTCTTCTTCTTCCACAAACGTCTGATTCCCGGTCAGAAACGTGTTCAAATCGACTCCACCGTCACTGATCAGTTTATCCAGCGACACAAAGTTGGCATCGTTCTTCACAAATGCACTGTGCTCTTCGGCGGCCAAATGGTTCGCCAGGACATCGTACTCGATCCGGCAGATTTCGCAATACCCGCACCGTTGCTGCTGCTGGGTTGCCTTCGCCCGGGCATTGGTGTTGTTGGTGTTGGTGGTGGTGGTTGTGGTGGTGTGGGCGGTTGTGGTCTTCGGTTGGTTAGTGGTCGCGGTGGTTGTTTTCACGCTTTTCCCTGCCGCTCCTCCGTGCCGGTCGCGATCGCTGTTGAAGGGCGATGCGCTGGACCGGGTGTTGAGGTTCAGTACGGGCCACTTTTTGAACAGTTGAAACGCGGGGCGGTAGTGCCGCTGGTAGGATTCGATCTTCAGGAAATCCCCCCGGAGATGCTGGATGTTGGCGGCTTTGCGCTGCGCGTCCGAAGTGGTGGAGGATGTTCCTCCCGCGCCGGGTTTTCCTAGCGATTGTTGCGGGTCTTGCTCACCGCCGCGGCACGTTTCGATGACTTTCTTGAAGAATTTGATCGCGTATTCGGTGGTCCAGATGGGCTTACCCCAGGACTTGGCTAGATGGGCCGGCGATTGCTGGCCGGTGGCGCGATCGAGCTGCGTTCGGAATGTGTTGTGGCTCGCCGGAGCCGGACTGCACGGACTGCTCGGTGGTGCACTCGTCGGGTTGTTACTGCTGTGCTTTTGCTGGTGCTGCTGCTGTTGCTGTTGTCGGACACGTTGGAGCATGGCATCCGCACGGCTGCGGGGTAACGATGGTTTGATCTGGAAATGGACACGTGGTTGAGAATGGTGTTTGAGGGGGGAGGTGCGGGGGAAAGTTATCTACTTACAGCAGCCGAGCCGCTGGCCGACGGAGTCGGATTCGGTGTACCGCCGACACATGGTGACGAGGGAGATGCTTCGTTTAGATACTGCTGCAGATGCGGGTGATAGGCGTAGGAAAGTGGAGTCCTCGGTGTCTGCGGGGTCGTCGGCGTTGCCGGTTGCTGTAGTTGCTGATACTGCTGACTGGATGGACCTCCGTCGGATTCCGTAGCCCGCTGTTGATACTGCTGCTGTCTCGGTTGTTGCTGATAGTCCTTATCGGTGATGAAATGGGTGATCTCTTTGTTCAGGAAGAATTCTATTTTCTGTGCGGGGTGGAGAAAAGGTAGGAAAACCAGTTAGTGTGTCTGTCGGAACGGAATTCGCGCAGTGCTGCGGCGTCTGTATGTAGTAAGGTACGGTACAACTAACAACAGAGAAGAGGGCAATCGTTCGTTGCGATGATGGGCAACCAGTTGCGTGATTCAGCTTTCGCCGTCCCCGCCCGTCGTAGCGAATAACGAAAATCATGCGATGGGGAGCCATTTTAAGATGCGAATCCTCTTACAAGACAGAACGAATCCATCTCTTCCGATGACGATGACGACGACGACGACGACGACGCGGCAGCATTTAAACAATTTAACTAAAGCTGGTCGTCCCGACTATAGCTAGGTATCCGGCACAACAAACACGGGAGAACTAATAGCATACAAGGAAAGTGATACCACGCGAAGTGCGGAGGGATGTGTGGGTGGGTGGTAACCGCCCTCTAGCGTGAGTTCCTAACATCTAACGGAACTCACAGGGGGAGAGGATCATTGCGCGCGCATACCACTCTGCTCCGACGAATGGTTCTTCAAAGCGGAACAACCGAGAGAACTCACAGTTTGGACCAACACATCGACACCCTTAACAACCACACACACACGTACGTACGAAACGGACCGGGAGAGGGTCGGATCTGTCATATTTCTGTGCAGAAAAGTGCAGTTGAACGAACGAGGAACGGAATACCCGGACTAGAACTAAACTGAAATCGTTTGGCTGGATTATTTTTTCTTCTTTGCGAAATTCTGCCTTGCCATGCAGCAGGCAGACTGGAATATCGATCCAACGCAAACCGAAATGGTCGGTTCGGCCAAGATCTGCTGCTGCTGCTTGCTTTCCGACGAGAAGATTCCGTGTGAGGAAATGTAAAGTGGGGCTTGACATTCTGTGTGTGCGAGAGTGCAAATTCTGATCAATTCGGATTCATGGAAGAGAATATACGAATACGGAATTAATTTTGCGAGTCGAAGGAGTTCTACATTGAAATTCGCATTCGTTTAGTCATGGCTATTTGAAAATCACAGCGTTGCGTACAGGTTTTCGCTTTCGGAATAAATCGGTCCATTCGTGAAGCAACAAGGTATTAACTGCAGTACAATGTTATCAACTACCCATAATCCCATTACTGTCCTATTTGAGTAGGACATCAAGTGAAGGTGGGACTGATATGGGATTTTTTATTATAATCATCCTCACGAATGGTTTTGCGGCACATACTAAACTGACCATATGACCATAGCAGTCCCACCTATAATAGGTACGTAAATGGGACTGTCATGCTTTTGTGGGTAGATACTTGGATATGGGTCATTCCATCTCCAGTGACCGAGCAATTGCAATGACCCTGTATGAAAATGTAAAAGGTTGTATCCAAGAGCCGACCGTATATTTTTTAGACGTAGGATTACGTGCTCGGTATCAATATTCGGCGACTGTGTTAGGGAAACCACTTTTTCGAGATCAATCATATAAGATCGAGATTTTTTCGCCTTTTCTAGCTTTCTGGAGAAAACCTTACCCCATGTCATGGCATGTGATATTCGATCATTGCGAGAATTTGTATGTACCACTTCAATACTGTTACGCATTTGACCACAAACGTTCGGTTCTTCTCCTTCTTCGCATTTCAAGCTTATTGCGTACTCTCAACTTAGTGTTCTAAGATGCACTTCCACAGTTATTAATTGAGAGCTTTCGATGCCTGTACCATTTTTGCATTGGTATAATTGTGTGGCAAGTCCAATCGTACTTCTATGCCCAGGGAAGTCGAGAAATTTTCCGACCCGAAAAATTTCTAGACCGGACCGGAAATTGAACCCAGCCACCTCCAGCATGGTATTGCTTTGTAGCTGCGCCTTTACCGACTGAGCTAAGGGAGGCCCCATTTTCGGTTGCTGAGTACATTATCCAAAGAGCTTTGGGGGTGATGTGGTTGGCAGTGTAAATGAAAATTAACTCTTAAACAACATCAATTTATGGTGGTCCTGAAAAGAACTGTTTTGTATTGCTGGTTGAGTAATGCTGAGCTATTAGGGTGTTCAACACGGATGAGACTGTCGAGCTGTATGTCGTTTGGAACGAGAGTGAAGTGCTTGGCACAGCGACTCACGAAGTGCTACTGAATCCGATCAGTAGCGGTGCGGCTTCTTCCTCCTTATTCGGTGAATGGACGCTCGTGTGGGCTGCCCTCGCAGGGTTCTGCATTTTCGAAGCAAAGAAAAGAATATGAACTCTCCGCATAATCGCTTCATTTCGAGCAATATCATTTTCGTGTAAGTCATCGCGTTTCTTGTTATCGAGTCACGATGAACATTCCTCTTTACCAACATGACTGGACTATCGCTTGTTTCGTTCGTCAAGTGCTTCAGTTCATTTTATTTGAAGCAAAGACTTGTTTCAATTGACGCAATGAATGAATCGAACACTGCTTCCTTCGGTTTTTTCCACTTTCACTTCAATTCGGGCTCATTCTACTTGTCACGACCTGACGACGCAGGCATCAATAAATAGTATCCGCACAACATCGGTTGCCGATAGGGATGGCATCCGGATTATATGTAGTAATAATATATTATTTTGTATTAAACAAAAATTAAATCGACGAGACCATTCTGGAGACCAAGATGGCGGCCATCGGGTTTCAGAAAAAGTGTCAAATACCCTACAATAGGGTATTTTCGGAACGGAAACAACGCGTAGATGCCAAAAATCGATATCCGACGGAATGATGGAATCCAATATGGCGGCCATTAGGAATCAGAAAGTGTTATTTGACGCCATTTTGGAATCCAAGATGGTGGCCATCCAGTTTCATAAAACGTGTCAAATACCCTAAGATGTGGGTATTTTCGGAACGGAACGCGTGGCTGTCGAAAATCGATATCCGATGCTATGTTCGACTTCAATATGGCGGCCATCGGGTTTAACAAAAAGTGTCAAATACCGTAAGATCTGGGTATTTTCGGAACGGGGACATGCTGAAAATGTTCGATGTCATTTGTAGGCTTTTTGACACTTCTTCTGAAATCGGAATTGAATTTCAAGATGGCGTCCGACATCGTTTTCTGTCTTTTAGATGTCAGCAGGTTTCCAAAAAAACTCTCATTGATCGGTATTTGACAGTAGTTCACAGGTTTTCCGAACCAAAGCCGCCATCTTGGATTTAAAGATAACGTGACAACAATTTTCGGCATCTACGGAATGGGAATGAGACATTCTGAAAATAACCATATTTTAGGGTATTTGACACTTTTCCGCAAATCGGAAGCCGCCGTCTTGGATTACAAACTGGCGTCGGATATCGATTTTCGGCTTCTAGACGTTACCCTGATTTAAAAAAACAGTTTGTATTTGTATTTTCATCCTCTAGACATCATCCCGATTCCAAAAAATACCTTTATTGAAGATTATTTGACAGTATTTCACACTTTTTCTTAAACTGGAAGCCGCCATATGACGTCGCATATCAATTTTCGATCTCTAGACGAACCACACGACAATGATAAATTTGACATCCACGTGCACAGATCTATGCACATACGCTTAAATGAACCGAGTGAAAAATCAACAAAAGTCATAAAAACTGCGCGAATTGGGATCGAACAGCTTCGCTTCAATGCAAAAGAAAGTTCATTTGACAATGAAAGAAGAAATGAACACGAATCAATCCAAAGCAAACAGTATGAAAACTTATCGACAGTGGTTCTGGTTGATGTTGACGAGGATCTACTCAAAAAGAGGACAGAATGACTTTCAATTGAAAGTGATGGTTGACAGCTTCATCGTCCTTTGACGATTTTCGATTGAAAGTGACTTTGTGGGGCCCTGACCTTTCGTTGGGTACTGGAGAACAATGTTCAACGCCACGCTTCGAAAGCACTGCTGCTGCTGCTGATGACTTGACACCACCACACACGGTGATTGAATAAGCACCGTTCAGCGAGACCGCATGGAATTCGATTTTGAAATCTGTGTTAGGGAAAGCGCTTTTTGCAGGCAATCGGTGATAATTTTGATTAACTTTAGCAGATTTGTAGAAAAATGTCCAACCGATTGGCTTGTTTGGAATTAAAATCCATCCGCTATTGACAGAGTTTTAAGTCATTCCGTCTCGCACGCAGAGCCGGTCAAGACGTACTGGTCTCGTTGTACCAACAATCAATACGAAACTAACGATTTTAAATTGGCTCACCACTTTAGTAGCCTATTGGTCCCAAGCAAACGATTAACGTACCCTATTCTAGTTGAAATTCTATTACTACACTATGTTTGTTTTGATTCGCTATGAAAGTTTGACAGATAACATCAGGGGTGTGTGGATTCATGCAGAACATGCAGGGGTGAGTGAAATAGCTTGAGACTGCTTGGGACCGTTGTTCTGGTACTGAGTGAGCCAAAAATAATAATGATTTTCTTCGGGAACCAGTGGTCTTAGAGTTACCTCTATGGTTGTACGACACTACTGTTATTATGGTCGCTTTCCCTCACACGAAAGTTTCGAGAACCTTGTTGAAATGGACATCCTTGATCGCCCCCGAAAACCTCTGTGCTCCCCCGCCTAAAGGCTTACCCAGAGGCCTCGAAAGGCGCATGGGTTGTTTTTTTTCCGCTATTCAAACTGCCCAAAAGACTTCTGAATTTGCGCACAGACTGCCCTGAATTGTTAAGTATTTTTTATAAGAAACCGCAATTTTACTGAAATTAATAGATTTGCCTCGATGTTTCCACAATTTCTATTGATTTTTTTTACCGTCGATCTTGTTTTCCGTACAGTACTATGTGCTACCGTACTAGTGCTAGTGCTACCGACACCAGTTAGGCAGCTCCCACACCTGGACCCTACCTATCGACCCATCAACTCATGAACCGGGGACCAACGGCTTTACTTCCCGAAGGAAGGCGCAATGGGAGATTTTATTACTTACTTACTTAAGTGTCCTGAGCGCCATCCCTGGCGCAAAGGGCCAACGTGAAAGATCTCCATCCTGGGCGATTG